AGTCTGCACCAAATCAGGTCTAAATACCTTCACTTGGCATGGAAGCCTTTTCATGATTGTCCACCCTCATCTGTGACTTGTCTTCACATTTCAAATACTCCAGCCACACTGTGCATGGACCATTTCTAGAACACATTTAATGCTTCCCATCTTCCTACACTTGTTCACATTGCTTTCTCTCTTTGAAATGTCCATTTTCTTGCCCCAAACCCTATCTTTTAGAATCTCCCTCATCTAGCCATGCTGTGACAAAAGCCACCGTCTAGCTTGTCTTCAGCGGGAGATGAGGCCTTCCCCCTGAGAGCCTTTGTTTCTCCTATCTGTTCTCACTCATTTTTCTGTGCCTTCAAGTTGTTTGCACACATATCTCCTCTTCCAGATGATGCACTCCTAGAGAACAAAGAACCCCTGAAAATCTCACACAGCCCCTCACTCAGTACCCAGGCACTCAAAGATGTTTTCTGAAAGGTCTTGAAGGCCAGGGAAAGATGCTTGGGCTTTGTTTGATGGGGAACTTTAAAGTTCTTTGGTACGAAAGGCACTATGTTCGTGGAAGTTAGAAGATGGGGAAAGGGAACAAGAGAGGGTGGCTTTGCCTCTCTCTGGTGAAAATTAATTCCTAGAGCTGCTTGGAGAGCATGGACACTGGGAGAAGCCATCCTAGGCTATGGCTGACCAGGGAGTGAATGAGAGACATCCTTGCATCTCAGTCTCCCCTACTGCCTGAAGGCTTCCTTCCTAACTGCCCATTTACTAAGACCCTACTAAGGAGCCGGAGGGTCTAGGCACTGGATAAGGGGTGTGGGAGCACAGGAGGACAAATCTTCTCAGGGGAATGAGATACCAGCCCAGCAGTCCTTTCTCCAAGCCTCAGACACAAGTCCACAAAGTGTGGGGACTAGAATAAAAGCAGCTTTCTTAGTTCTAAGACTTGATAAGAAGCTCAGATTCACCTCCTCCACACCTTTGGCTCTTCCCTAGATTCCTCCCACTCCCCATTTCTTCAGATACCTAAGAGAAGATGTAAAAGGTGATCACAGGAAACGTCACTTGGCTTGGAAACTGAATTTCTAGAGATCATGCTTCTTCCATGTGGAATCCTCCTGAAGTCATTCACCACACCTGCTTGTATTTCAGATTACAACTTGTTTCTGGTTGCTGCACATGAGTTCGGCCATTCCTTGGGGCTCTCTCATTCCTCTGACCCCGGTGCCTTGATGTACCCCAACTATGCTTTCAGAGAGCCCAGCACCTACTCACTCCCTCAAGATGACATCAATGGCATTCAGGCCATCTACGGTAAGGTCACCATAAGGAACCATGCAGCACATGGTGGTACCTGGAAATAGGCCCCCATCAGGCCCAATGAACATCTCTCTTTGGACTTCTAGCATATTCTGTCCTCAGGGAAAGCTCAAACTGAACTCTGAAAGTTTCCAGCAATAAATGTGATATTAGCAAAGGAGGCCTTGGGGGTGGAGCCTCTATCACTGCTTTAAAAAAAATGTTGGGAAGAAATGTACACGTCAATCCCCAGTCATCGTCTCTGGATGATGGGGAGTTTTTCCCCCTCATTTTTTATGTTTCCCAATTTGTGTAGTCTAAAAAAGCAGGACTGTACCTTTTCAATACTGCAAACCTACTCCTAGATATACTTAATAAAACAAACCTCACATAGGTCCTAAGGGGACAGATACAGAGCACACTGAAGATGTTCACTCAAGTCTTACATATGGTGGTGGGAGTTGGAGGACACCTAGTGCCATAGGTGGAAACAGCATTAGGAGTGTATATGGCAATAATGTAAGAGGGCCTTCAAATCTTTGAGCTTTGTGAAGAAGAAACAGAATGACACTACTCCATAAGGTATTAATTAAATGACACAATCTATGACTTTACATAGACCTAAAATGTATAATAGATGAAGCAAGGCATTTTAAAGAACATGCAAACAAAAATGTATACAGTGAACATATTAGAATAGTTGTCTGAAGGAGAAGGGGGGACAGAAGTGGGGTGTGGTTAAAACAATACTTATTTTTCAGGGAGGCGAGCAGGGAACTTTTGCCTGGTTCTAAGAAGTTCTCTCTGGGTAAAACCACAGTATCTCTCATTCCTCTTGCCCTCCTGTTCCTAGAAATGTGCAATGGAATGGAGTGAAATGGAAGGGAATTGAGAGGAGAGGAAGGGAATTAGGTGAAGCACTCTCCCCTCTCTGGCAGAAGAGTAACATAAAATTAAGAATGACAACCAGGGGATTTTTTGGTGATGGTTGAATTTCCACGATCGCCGAACACTAATCCAACTCCCTCTGTACCCTCAACTCTCCCCCTCACCCCAAACACCTCCTTTGTTTGCTCATTGGTGTTTTAAATTCCCTTAACTATCAGTTTAGCCCTTCATCTTACAATAACAAAATACATTATAATGTAAATTCTTATATAAAAGATACGGATAAAATTTGATCTATATTTGCAATGTAAGATAAAAGACGAGTATCAGCTATTTCCCTGGATGTGAATTTTGGTGGGAAGGAAGTTGACCCTGAATGGCCAGAAGTATCAGAAGGAGTAACCAAGAAGGGGGAGAGAATATTAGAAATTAAAGGGAGGAGGGCAAAGAGTTACATTTCTTTACTTCCCAACTTAACCTGAAACTAATCCTGAAAATCATCATTACTCTTGTTAAGCAAACAAAAACTTCAGGAGGGCCAATGTACGGCAACTTCAGTGCCTTGAGGCTGGCAGCATTTCTCTTCTGCGAAGACCCTTCACCTTCCTGAGAAATAGCTCAAGTAAAAGCTAAGAGTGACGCTGGACACATGCTTATAAAAACCCTTTTACCTGCAGGACCTTCAAATAACCCTATCCAACCTACCGGGGAAACCACACCCACAGCCTGTGATCCCCGATTGACATTTGACGCTGCCACCACGCTCCGTGGAGAAATACTCTTCTTTAAAGACAAGTATAAAGTGGAACTGTTCCTTCCTTGTCTTACTACCAGATCTTAAAACAGGACTCTATCTAAGTCTAATTATTCAGTTTTTCTTTTGAATTCTACACATACACACCTCATTGGAAGTTTTAGTGTTTTCTGGGTAACTCAGAACATACAAGGAAAAAAAAACAACACTAAAGCATTCAGATATTTGGTGGTATAAATAGACATGGGCTATATTTGCTTGGGAACTTGATAACTGTGTTTAATCAACACCAAAACATCATTGAATTCATTCAAAATCAGCCAAGTAAATAGAAGCTATCACTTAGTTTAGCTGTGAGGCAAATCATCTGACATTAAAATCTTCTCTCTTTTTTTTCTTTTTTTTTTTTTTTTTTTTTTTTTTTTGCTATTTGTGAGTGGAATCACAGATTTTAAACTGTGTTTTTGCTTTTGTCAATGGCTACCTATATTTAATGACTATTGTAATGAAAGTATTAATGAAGTAAGATCTGTTAATGTGGGAGGACATTTAATTGCATTTGGGGCAATGCCAAATCAAATAATATCACTCCCATGAGGAAGAGACAGTATCACCACAGAGCCTAGCCATGTGCTGGTCACGGTAGTAAAAACTGCATACATGATAAAATTATATCCTCCCAGCAATGTCATAATGGCCATTACTACCTGAGAATCACAGAAACTGACAACCTAGACTACTGTGTATGTTTGCGTGTGGTACACTTCTCCTTGTGTCCTATTAGGTACTTCTGGAGACGGCATCCTCAGCTCCGACTAGTTGAACTCAATTTTATTTCTCTATTCTGGCCATCCCTGCCAAATGGTATTCAGGCTGCTTATGAGGATTTTGATAGAGACCTGGTTTTCCTATTCAAAGGTAACTCCTTAAAGTTTTCTTATTTTAGTTCTTCCTGACAGGAAGGAGCAAGGTTCTTTGTGGGTCAGGTTCTGAAGGTTAAGCCATAGAGAGCTTGTGTGGGCCAGGCCTTTGCCCAGACACACCAGGGTGGGCCCCATCTTGGTCACTCTCCACTGCGTGAATTTGAGCAGGTCACGCTGTCTTCAGGCTTCCGTATTGTCATCCACAAACTGAGAAAACCACAGTAGACCCTGTTTAGTATTTTCCATCCTCATCCTAAAAACAATTTTCTAACATTTCTCAAGTTTATAATTTAGACACTGTATAGAAGTCGCATGAGATAGAACATTCAATTGTGGGGCCCCGAATGTCAGGCTAAGAAGTCGGAATGTTTTATGGGTTCAGGGAGGAACCACTAGGGCTCTCACAGTCCCATGAAATTAACTTTTCTACCCTCATCTTTCAAAGACTGTTTTTCCCCCCATTTTTATTTCTTTATGGATAATTATTCAAAGACCAGGAAGGAGTATATATTAATTATCTCGTAGAAACTGAAGAACTTTATTTAATGTGTAACCTGAATCATGACAGGCAACCAGTACTGGGCTCTGAGTGGCTATGACATTCTGCGAGGTTATCCTAGGAGCATGACCAACTACGGCTTCCCAAGCACTGTGCAAGCAATAGACGCAGCTGTTTCTTACAGAAGGAAGACATACTTCTTTGTAAATGACCAATTCTGGAGGTAGGATAAACATTTTTCGATTATAAGTAGAAATCCTTGTTTCTCCACCCTGTCTACAAACCAATAATATCTAGGTAAGATTTGAGAGGTTTTCATGAGACCAGATTCATTTTCACAAGATGACTGGTGTTACCATGGCTTTTGAAGTTTTTATTTTTATAAAATTAAAATGCCTGCACAATAGTATTGAGAATTTTGTGAAACAGAATACATTCTCATGAAACACTAGTTTGAGATGCAAAGAAAGAAAGACATAGACTAATTCTTATTAATAATTAAATTCTGACACAAACAAGCAAATAATCTGGTGCCCAGATGAACATATAATTTTCATTTATGTATTCACACATACACATACATACACACATATACTATGTAACAATTAATTAAAAATCCTTAGAAAATATGAACTCTTGTTTTGGGGAATGACCTTGTATCAACAATAAGAAGCCTGTTTTAGAATTAACAATACCCATAAGTTTAATAAATAAGTGTGTACCCTTAGATGAAATTAACCATTCCTAATTTCAATAAATAAAACACTGTGAAATATGAAAGACAAAGTATGTGAGAAGGTCCTTTGTAAAGTTTTAATTGTATAATTAAAATAAAACTAATTATCCCTATAGTCTACATTGATATTAAATCATGGGACTTTTTTTTTTTTTTACCAGATATGATAACGAAAGACAATCCATGGAACCAGGTTATCCCAAAAGCATATCAAGTACTTTTCCAGGAATAGAAAGTAGAATTGATGCAGTTTTCCAGCAGGATCGTAAGTAAGGGGGGAGAGAAAGCTACTAATAAATTTATTTATAATTTTTAAATGACACTTTTGCATTTGGATACTATATTAGAATGGGAGGGGGCAGGTGTCTTCTTTAACTGAAAACATCTGATCTCTTTTGCAAGCTAATTCAATAAATTATCTCTTTTTTGTAGGCTTCTTCCTTTTCTTCAGTGGACCAAGATATTATGCATTTGATCTTATTGCTCACAGAGTTACTAGAGTTGCAAGAAGCAATTTGTGGCTTAACTGTAGATACAGTTGAAGCAAAATCAAATGTGTTCTCATCCAATTTCACTATGAAAGGAAATACAACTTGCATATCCATCATATTGTGTCCTGTTTATATTTTCCTCAATTCTAAGTAGTGTTTCACATGACTGTTTTCATTTGTCCTAGTCTCAGGGAAAATATGTTTGGAATATTACACAGCAGACCCTGATTCAATCATCCACATTCCATCTAGTGAATCTATCACAAAGAGAAGGAAAGTAAGCCCTTTGTCACCTCAATATTCTGTTCACCTCATGTGCTGTTTGTTTACTTGATTATCTGAGTTTTAAAATTCACTGTTTCATTACTTGCTTATATGACTTCAAATATCCCCGTTTCTTTAAACACATTTTACATATACCTACTACATGAAATTTAGCCCTCAATTTTGATTAGAAATAACAATAATCAGCAACACAGACGATAACTTTTATCTTTACAAAAAATGTGGTGCTATTTTTCACTCTTGGAATGAAATAAGGATATAATATATTATAGGTTGATTGCCTCTTTCAAAAGAAAATATGTTGAAGTCTTAACATAAATATGAGTTTACTAGGCTCTTTGCAGATGTTATTAAGTAAAGAGGATGTCATACTGGATTAGGGTGAGTCCTAAAATCATATTACTTTTATCCTTATAAAAAGAAGAGAGGGTTTGGGATATAGTTCAGTGGTAGAGCACTTGCCCAGCATGCACGAAGGCCCTGGGTTCAATCCCCAACACTACTAAAAAGAAAAGGAGAGAGAGAGAGAAGAGACATGACCACATAGGGGACAATATCATAAAAGAGCTAGAGATTAGAGGGATGCATCTACAAGCCAAGGTATGCCAAAGATTACCAGCAGCCACCAGCAGCTGGGAAGAGACAAGGAAGGAGCCTCCCAATAAGCTGCAGAAAGGGGACTCTGGCCCGGAGCTGCCTGCTGGTTTGAGACATCTAGTCTTCAGATTGTGAGAGAATAAATTTCTGTTGTTTCAAACCACAAGTTCATTGCACTTTGATATAGCAGCCCTAGAAAGCTAACGGAGTTCATCTGAACATAACAAAAGGAATCAATAAGGAATGTGGAAGTGGAGACCCCACTGAGGATTACTAGGCATCTCCCAGGAAGGCAACCAAAAGGAGAGCTCCACTCCCTCTCCTGCCTCCTTCCTGCACTCTCCTTCTAGAATTCTAACAGATGGGCCAGTGGGTCTGTTGTTTCCCAATTCTTTACTCCTGGATACTCAGGAGGGCACACTCTACAGCTGACTGCACCAACAGAACAGTGTTGGGTGCAACATTTAATAAATCTTATTAAATTGAACTGAACTGAACATCAATACATCAATTTGCTAAGGATTTTTTTTTTCTGTTAAGAACTTTAGGACTTGTGGGGCCTCAATGTATAGCATAGACACCAAAATCATTATAATAACAAATTTGCAGATATTAGAATGCAAAGCGGCTTATTAAATACTAAATACATGAACTGTAAAATATATTTTCACTAGAACATCCTCTTTTTTTCTCTCTTGAAGTTTTTAAATTAACATGGCATCTTATTCTGATTCAAAATATCTATGAAATCAATTCAAAATAAAGATTCTTATGTTAAATGACTGGTGATCTACTTTTAATTTCTTAAAATGCCACCACAGAGTTGATGCGAAGCATAAAGAAGAATCGAAAATTTTAGATACGTTTATTATTACTATATGTGTGTGTGTATGATGTCCTCAAAAAACCTCCTCAAATATGTCAGCACATTATTTTCAACTTATTTTACAAGATGTAAAAAGAAAACAGAGACTAGTAGACACCAACATTCTATTCATTCATTCATTCATTCAGCAGGAATGAATCATCTACAAGTTCCTGGTACCGTGCTGGGGAAAGTAAGAGAGATCTATAACTAATTCATTGCATTCATGGAACAAGTACAAAAGGACCTATAGGAACTGTACACCCTATTTTTAGCTATAGAGTCAATTTCAGATATGCTTTCTAAAATTTCCTATGATGTTTTTATGTGCATATAAATGAGGCTCATTTCCTCAGAACACCTAACTGTGTAAGCCAATCATGACAGATTCTTCACCCAACTTCACATATACATTTTTGACATGAGAATTGAGTTAATAATTTATTTAACCGTGCTTCACAGATTCACAGGAAGTGAACAGCAATATGAAATGTAATAAAGAATTCAAAAAGTATTCATTTTCCCCCTTTTAATTCTTTTCTTGCCAATGTGTGGTATCTCCTGGCTGCCCCATTGATGTTTTATGTGAGTATATAAGATATAAGGATCTAAGCTTAGAATTTAAATAATGAGATTCCTTTTTAGTTAGGTTGAGTTTATTCAAAAGCAAAGCCTAAGTCAAGACCTTGGTGCAATGATTTTGGAGGGACAGGCATGGTCCCAGCAAACAAGAGTGAGGTAACAGGGAAGGCAGAAAAGTCGATAAAAATACAGTACAGGTGTAGGTTGTAACAGTTTCTACTATGCACAACTGGTGATTCCACCAGGGCCTCCAGAGAAGTCACCAGAACCCCTTCAGAGGTTCACAACTCAGATGGACACAGACCTAGAACAATCACCCTTCAGTTCCCAGTCCTCATTAGGTGAGAACTGTCCCTGAAGGTGTTTACAATTTACCCTTCTGGGCTGTACTCTCAGTTCCACAGAATCTCTGTGGCAGAAAGCAGAAAGACCCACAGCACGTGCTTACGGTTGGACTTTGTCAGAGCAAGGTGAGTTACACTAACCTCCCCACCGGCAACAATTCAATCAGAGGTGTGTGGTGGGCACCAGAGGCACCGCCTGTCATTTTGTTTCAGGGAGATTTAAATGATGGGAATGGGAGGAGCCCTCTTTGAAGAAACTTACCAGCCCAAGGAAAAAGATTCATAGATACTGACACTGGAGAAATCTCAACATGGCAGAGGCCACTAATTACCAACCCTAATATCCATTCTCAACTTCCACTTTTGCTTTGAGTCCCCAATTTCATCAGAGGTAACAATACACCCAGCTGAAAGACTACATTTTATTGTCTTGCTTACAGTTAGACGTGGGCATGGGTTTAATTTCTACACAAAATGTGTAAGTTAAATGTTGTGTGGAGCTTCTCAGAAGAGACTGAGAGTTTGCTTTTCTTTTTCCCTGCTGTCTATAATGCAGATTCTTTATAAAGCTAGAGCTAGAGCTTGAGAAGACACCTGGACCATGGGACATTGATTTAAGAGAGTGGGATTGCAGGGTGGATGTTCCCTACATCCCTGATGAGGAGCTGCCGCAGAAGCCTTGGACCATGGAAGCTGGGCTTCTTTTATTTGAGGAAAAAATACATTTTAATTTTATTAAGACTCTGCTATTTGTTTATTTTTGTTGTGTTCAACTAAATCTCATTCTGACTAATACACCACATGAAATGTCTTGGACCTGCTCTATCTCCCTGCTGGGAAGGTCATCAATTTGTCAGCCCAGCCCATGCACAGAAAAGTTTCCAGCTGGCTTTCTTATCTCACATTCTAAAACAGACTGTACAACACCAAGTCACCAAGCATCTGAAAAAAGACTACAAAGTGAAAAACAGAGACCAAGAAAGAAATTTTGAGGAAATATAGACAATTCTTGGAGTAAAAGTAAATGTCAAAATAAACTAAGGAACACTTAATTTTAACATTCTCAACAAACAAACAAACAAACAAAAAAGAATAAAAGACAATATTTTACTTCCAAAAAAATCACTTCAAATGCAAAAAAGTAAAAACAAATGTAAACAGTTACTCTAAGAACTGAAAAGAACTCTTCAAAATATGATAGTGGAAATAAATATTCAATAGGTGAGCTGGATAGTAAAGTTGGTGGCAAATAGTAAAGGGCATATCAGATACCACAACTCAGTTCAGGAGGGTCAATCAATGCACATTCCAGGAAAATAAAAAGAGAAATGAGAGGAATGGATTATAGAAGAAATACTACATGAAACTTACTTCCAATAGAACTTTCCATAATAAAAAGGCCAATTTACTGTCCAATATTAATAGAAGACCCACAACAAGAGATGGTTATAAAATTTAAGAATATCTAGGTAAAGAGAAAATTTTTCAAATTATCAAGTCATAATAAAAGATTTCTCAATTGCGACACTGTATCCTACAAAGCAGTGGATCTGGACCTTCAAAACTACAGTTATGTACACTCACATTCTCAACCAAGTGTGAGGATGGAAGAAAAGGAATTCTT